TTCATCTATAAGAGGCTTTACTGAAATACATAAAAGCTTCATATCGGAAGAGTATACCGGAGCCCATCGTTGCTCCATCTCAAAAATTTACAATAGAAGTAAAAACCATTAATACCAATATAATAAGAGATTCCATTTGTTGAGAAGAAATTTTGAACGTCGCTCCAACTGCGTGGAGACTTAATTAAATAGAGAAAAACGTAATTTCGAATTTTGACTATTTGTACAAAAAAAAAAATTATAGACGAATTAAATATTGAAGAAATTATTGACAAAGGAACAAAGAGGAATCTTCAAAATTTCATTTCAGTATTGAAACGTATGAACAAGTAATTTTTACCCCAACTTGTTTCACCCTCAAACTTCCAATTTCCTCAACATTCATCGAGATTTAATTAAAAATTTAACTGATTTGCAATGTTTACTCTTACTTTAAATTTTCAGTCTCTCCCTCACTTTCAACTTTAATAGTCGAATATTTCTGCAACAAAAACACAGCCCGCCAGAAATCTCGATTCTCATTTATATAATTCCATTGAGAATCAGATATTTTTCCACGAAAAAAATTGAACGAACTCGAAGAAAGATAGAGGAACAAAAAAACAAAACAAAAGAATTTTAAACGTTTCTTTTCCAGACGTGGACGAATGTGCCCAACCAGATTTGCAAACGGAAATGTGCCGGTATGGTTGCATCAATACGCCAGGATCTTATCGATGCGCCGAGCCAATGGAGTTGAAGGATCAACCGATACTGGACAGCTTGTCGATCACGTGCCTGCCAGGCTACGAGGCAACCCCCGATGGAACTTGTATCGGTAAGTGGTTTAATCCGTACGGGTGATTTAACAGGAAGTTGGATTTGCCAGTTAAGCCCCGCGGCAGACACTTTTCACTGCGAACATCCACTCTGCCCTGTAATACATTGTACTTCGGTTGCTCCACGATTCTTGCGATTCGAGCGGGATTTTCGTGGTTTGCGAAACAGACCAGACCGATTTTTAACGCGGCAGTCGAATCGACGCGCGATTACGAAAAGTAGCACGTTAATTCTTTTTTTTGTTTTTTTTTTAATAATAGTTACAACGAACAGAATGAAGAGATGAAAAGTTATCGACTGTTATAACTTTGCAGGGAAAAAAAATCACACAGCAATCTCCACTTGGTGCCGTTTTACAGTATAAAGCGTTTACTTTAAGAATCTTGATTTGAATCTTCTTTTCTTTTAAAAAGTATATTATCACGTTGCGTGGGAAAATAAGGATATTCTTCACTCTCGGAAATTGTGAAAATTCAAACGTTGATTCAAATTTTCTCATCGATCGGAGATCTATCTGTGAAGATGGTCCTAAAGGATTCCCATCAACAATCGCCATTTACTTCTCGAGTTTCTATTTATTTATTTTTTTTTTTAATGATAGTTTCAACGAACAGCGTGAAGAGATGAAAAGTTATCGACTGTTATAACTTTGCAGGGAAAAAATCACACAGCAGTCTCCACTTGGTGCCGTTTTACAGTATAAAGCGTTTACTTTGAGAATCTTGATTTGAATCTTCTTTTCTTTTAAAAAGTATATTATCACGTTGCGTGGGAAAATAAGGATATTCTTCACTCTCGGAAATTGTGAAAATTCAAACGTTGATTCAAATTTTCTCATCGATCGGAGATCTATCTGTGAAGATGGTCCTAAAGGATTCCCATCAACAATCGCCATTTACTTCTCGAGTTTCTATTTTCCAGGACAATTGCCACCTTCTGCAAAATTCTACGTAGTATTTAATTCTCCGTGAATGAAAAAACGTGCGTGTTCCCGCGTGATTCTTCTCGTGACAAATATTGAAGCGTGTGCCGGCTTTTCGTAGAAGCAAGAAAATGGAACGTGCTACTTTTCGCAACGCGCCTACGTCGATGTAGCCTGCATCCTATTCCTGTTTCTGTACACACAATTAAGATCGTTATTTGTGTGTATCTCAGCTGTGTCACATCCAGCGTTCGTGCGGATGATATTCTTCGTTGGCCGACATAATTGCGTTTGTCGTTCATTTCGCGGCGCAGAATTTTAGCACAGGCAACCGATAGGTAGTACGATAACAATTCCCCATAGGGAGATGAGCGTCCTAACGAGATTTTGCCGCCTGGTGCTAGTCGTACCCCATAATACCGTTCTAGACGACCCGAGTATATACGTAATCGAATTAGCCCGCACATGGATCCGCTCGGTAGGCTGGCGGCATCTCCGCTGCAATATTGGGTCGAGAATCTGGATCATCAACCGTCGGGAAACTGTCGAAATTAATGGCAATGCTCGCTGTTTCCACATGTTTCCCCGTTAATTTCATCCGCCGTATTTTCGCGTATAATTTATGAATTCATTTTGATACGAACTTATTTACCCGATTTGTTTAACTGTCGACCATCTAATTGAGTTTGCGCTCTAATCCTAGATTCTGGACTTTAATTGCTACGATTTTTTTTTTGGAGTATCTCGGTTAATCGTCTAATTCAGCTTGCGCTTAAATTTCGGATTTTGGAGGAAAATCGTATTCGGAGATAGCTCTTCAATTATATTCCATTCATTTCATTCATTATTAACGTTGTTTCGTTATCCTCCTCCATGAATTTATTTTTATTTGTTTAATAACGATTTAATCGAGTGTCTGTCTAGACGTTCGATTTTAATTGGCATGATTTCAACAATTTATTAATGGCTCGTTCGGGGAATAGTGACTTTTGATTTTCTGCGAAAGGTTCGTCGAGATTTACAAAGCTTTTGTCAAATGAGAATTGGATTATAACGATTATAATGAAATGTTATAATGAAAATATATCCATTTAATATTGTAAATTAGCATTGTAATTATAACAGATTGTTAATTAATTCAACAATTGAACGATGGATAGAAATTTATTTTAGTAACAAATAATAAATCTTTTGTGGAGAAATTTAGAAATGCATATAACATGCGAAGGTGTAAAATACCATAAGTAGAGTATCTATAATTTTTAATATCTGGCGGAAAATAAAAATTTCTGCTCGAGTTTCTTCCATTTCTTTGACTGTATTCATAAAAATGTAAAATTAAATGAAATTTCGCTGTTTACCCGCGACATTTAATCTAGCAAAATTACATTCGAATCGTAACAAAAGTACGATTATTTTATTAATATTATACAACTGTTCGAGCGATCAACTGTCAACCAGATTCTGCACCGTTTCCAAACAAACGTTGAGAAATTTGCATTTGCATTTGCACGTTTCATATTTGTGCTCTTACCTCGTGATTAGAATCCTTAGCAAGATAAACGTTCTAACAAGATTCCATTTCCGGCTTTAGGCTTTCTAGTAGCCTCTAAACCTATTAGACCCTGCGATCGAGTTACGCGAGGGAATTGATATAGATGAGAAAACTATATATATATATAT